TTTATGAAAGGAGAGTGATTCATAATAGTCATAAAATAAAACCATGAATTGGCTTAATATCCACTGGAGGGCAAATGATTTAGTACCTTATCCATGCTCACTAATAGGATTCTCTGGAGCACCCATAAATATAATAAATATAAATACTAAGTAGCAATGTGGACTAGGATTATGATTAGTGCTAATAGACAAAAAGGAGAATTTCCAGTTGTAAACTTGTTATTCCTGTGACTAGGATACATATGCGTGCATATGATATATAGATATACATAAAAACTCACAGAGATACATGTGCATATGTATTGGAGGTGGAGTACTGGTAACACATAAAACAATGAGCAAAATTTAAAATGGTAGGGTGATTTTTACTTCTCAAAATTGACTCTATTGATGAGTACATATCTTTTAAAAAATAATAATATTAAGAGAATATTTCAAAACAAATTTGATACTGCAAAATATTAAAATGACTCTCTCTGTGGTGTAGAATTAAGAAGGAATTTATTATAACTTCTTAGTATTGTTTTTACTTTTCTCCAGAACATGTATAATTAGATAGAAGCCACAAAGCAGCTGTGCACTCTCCGTCTCCCACACTGGGCCGACTGTCCTCTCCGAGAGAACTGTGGAGTGGGCACCGGGTTGTGAGAGAGACACCTCTTTCTTCGGCTTGCAGAGGCCATGGACAGCAATAGAAAGTATAACCACGAAGAGATGACCAGCCTCACTGGGTCCCAGCACGCACTGTGTGAGTGGGTCCTTGTTGATCCAACGTGTGAGTCCGAAACACTTCACAGCCATGAGCTCACTGAAGCACATGACCTTGCCTGAGATGGGTACCCTGTCATTCACCATGTGCAGGTAAGTGGTTCATTCAGGGGATCCTGCCACCTCGGGCAGCCTCCTCAGCCTCCCTATCTGTCTATAAAGTGATACTGTGTTCTAATAACAGCCACCTCAGAGGGCTTATATAAAGCCTAAATAAAGCAGTGTGTTGCTTTTCGTTAGATGGTTTCCTTAGTTATTTGCTTCAAATAAAACAAAATAAAGCACAATGAACAAATCTCCAAATTTTCTGTGTGTGTGTGTGTGTGTGTGTGTGTTTCTGTATGTGTGGTGCTGGGGTGGAACCCAGGGCCTTGCACAAGTGCTCTGCCATTGAACTACACCCTTTGTCCCCTTTGCCACACTTTGTGTCAAAATCTTGAATTATAATATTTGCTTCACATGTAATACAAAAGCACTAAAGAAAAATTAGAAAAATATTACCCATCATTCCACCTTCCAAAGATAGCCCATATTGACGTACTGAACTACAATGTACCAATTATTTTTTTGTTCACACACAGACACACTTATATATTCACAAAATTGGTTCACACACATTATTTTAAATCTGCTTTTGTTCCCCACTGAATCATAATTAGCATATTTTCTTGCCCATAAGCGTGTCAGTTACTATGAGTACTAAGTCAATTGTACAGATGTAATATATTTTCACATCTTCTATTTTTGGACTTTTAAAATTTCTTTTCTTATCCTTGCTCTGATAGACAATTCTCTGATGAATATTTACATACATATATTCTTGAGCAAATGATTGACCATTTTAAAGGGGAAATTGCTGGTCAAAATAAAAAACAGTTTAATGTCTCTGTCTGTATATTGCCAAATTGCCTTTCAGAGTTCTAGCAACTGAACTCTTCATTGGCGATGTAATAACATGCCCGTTTCACCACATTATTGCTAAAACTAGGCCTTTTATCTCTTTGTCTATTTGACCAATGATAAATGAATTACATTGTTATTTTGTTTCTTAAGGCTGAAAATAAAATTCTTGTAATTATCAGTCATGCTCTTGATCATTACAATTTAAAGATTTTTCTTATTATCATAGAAATTCATTAATTAGAAGACTTAATTTTTGACTTATATTTTATAAATATTGCTCCAGTTTTTCATTTGTCTTAGTTTTTTGACATTGCATACATTTGAAAATTTTATGCAATTAAATTTAGTAACTCCTTTGGCTGCCTCTTATAAGATCATGCTTAGAGAAACTGGAGTGCTGTTCAAAATAAATTTTTTTCCAGGGATGGCCTATATCTGGCATGTTTTCTGCATCTTTGAATGACTGAAAATAAGGTTTTACAGTCTCATGTAAGTACAATAGCTGGGCAGTCAGACCATTTTTAAGACACAACCTTTCCTTTTCCAAATCCCAACACTTTGGGTGGCTGAGGCAGGAAGACCATGAGTTTCAGCTGAGCCTGTCAACTTAGCAACTTAGTGAGACACTGTCTCAAAATAAAATAAACCAATGTACGGTTTGGGTCCCCCCAAAGCCTCACGTGGTCTCATAGGCTGGACCTAGAGTGTGTGAAGCTGGAATTGATTCATGATGCAATGCTCGGCTCAAGGGCACTAGGATTAAGGGTGTGAGTGCTACCCACCCTAAGTAGTCTCAATAAGATAAAAAGGGCAGGGAGATGCTGTTAGGTTCCTCTTGGTGCCTTTGCTGCCTTGTGTGTGCCATGTTGTTTCCCCTCTGTGATGCCTGTTTGCCACCCCAGCCTTGGAGCCAGCCGATTATGGACTGAAACCTCTACAAAGTGTAAGCCAAATAAACCACTTCCATTGTAACTTTGGGTGTCGGGTATTTTGTCTCAGCAATGAGAGAAAATTAGCTAACACAGCCAGGGAATGTAGCTCAGTGCAAAGGCCCTGAGTTCAATCCAAATATGGAAAATAAAACAAACAGACAAACAAACAAGTCCTCTGGAGGGCTGTTCCCAGTTTTGTAATTTAGTGTTGAGAGATATGTCTGATGTGCCCTGTGGGCTGGGATTTCATACTTTGGCCTGGCACTCAGTCCTGGGCTTTGGATTGACAACAGTTTTCTGCAATACACAAAAATTGTCTTTCCTTATTTCTTGCTCCTAGCTCGTCATCTACCTGATGTCCGAATTCTTCTGGGCTTCCTGTTCAATCTCCAGGACCCACCCTGCAAGCCTCTGGTCTCTGGCTTGAGTTTCACCTTTATCCTGAGCCCCAGGTCCCCCCGGAGGGCTGGGTGGTTTGGTCACCCTGTTTCAGTGCTGCCCAGCTTGCTGATTCGTATCAATGTGGGCTTTTCCACTCTAGTGCCTCCTGTTCCTCCTAAAAGCAGCTTTCCTTCATTGACCTTGAACTGCTCATGGGCACGGTCCCCTCCCAATTACTGTTGAGAACCTGAGGTGAACATTGTACAAAATGTCACTCTTTCCACCAGCAAGCTGTTCACTAGAGTATCCTTTTCTTTGGTGCCCCTGCGCATCTGTCAAGTACCCACAAGGGTTTTCACATGGGAGGCCACTGCCCTTATATTTGCACATAGAACTGGCACAGTGTAACAAAGATAGAGGTAATATTTGTATCAATTATTTAAATTTTTAATTAAAAAATGACATTAAATAGCAAGCAAAACAAAACAAAAGCACCACAAGAAGGCTGGAGGTTGCAGAAGAGAGGCAAAAACTCCTTATTTTAGCACCTTTAGGGGAACTTCTCCCTGTGTGGTGAACAAAGACATCTGCACTTTTCAGCTGCACTGGGCCCTGCCAGTCCTATAGCCGGCCCGGGCACCAGCTTTGGTGCAGCCCTTTCTGATAAGTGGTGGCCTCAGGTAGCTGGAGCTGCAGATGATCCATCTGACAATGCTGCCCCCTGCTTGAGTGTGTGGCATTTGGACTGTCTTCCTTGTCACTTCCCACTCCTGTCCTTCGGCACACCATTCCCCGAGGTGTTCCACAGTTTGAAGGGAGGACAGAGGTTCTGATCACATGGTACATGTGTGCCACACTGAGCTGCCACGTAGGTCCATCCCATAGTCCCTCCTCAGTGTCCAGGGCATGAGATCCAGGACACCCCTCAGATACCAAAATCCATGGATGCTCAAGTCCCTTATGTAAAATGATGCAGTACAGTATTTCATGTGGCCTGTGTGAGCCCCCCCTACACCTTACAGCATTTCTAGCTGACTTATACTACCTAACTCAGTGCAAGTGCTAGATACACGGTTGTTAGATTGCCTTGTTTAGGGACTAAAACACAGAAGAATGTCTGTGTGTTCAGTATGGATGCAACAGGCCTATCTCCTTTTCCCTCTGTGGTGGGTTGGCTACTGAGGGCGACTGTTCCGGAGTTGATCACCTGAGTTACACTCATAAATCCTGCCCATGGTGCCTGATGCCTGACACCGCCATAACTGTTGGCTTCCTTCCCCTTTCCTGGCCTCCTATGACAATGTCATTTTTTAGGATTCTCTCTTAATGTAGCTCTCTTTGGTTTTACACTCACAAGCCCCTCCTGGAGAGTCCTGCTCTTTGGGAAGGGATGTAGGATTCTCTGTCTCCTGCTATCCTCTGAGGGGGGATAGGGGTCATCAGGAGCCAAGTAGTCCACCCTGCCCAGCCCCTTCTTGCCTGCCCAGACAGAAACCAAGCTGGAGAGGTCCCGAGGCGCTCCTGCTGACCCATAGGCTCTCCGTGAGTGTGCCACTTTCTCCTTTGCTTCCTCTACCTTTATTGATCAACTGATTGATTGACTGTAGTCCTGGGGATTGAACCCAGGACCTTCACACTGAGCTACATCTCCAGCCCCTATTTTGAGACAGGGTCTTGCTAAGTAGGCCAGACTGGGCTGCAACTTGTGATGCTCCTGCCTCAGCCTCCCTGAATGCTCGCATTACAGGCCTGGCTTTGCCACTTTCTTCTTGACACCCACCTGCCATCTTCAGGGTTCCTGGCAGCAGTCGGGCTGAGACTGGAGAGGTGAGGCAGAGAAACCCTCAGCTTCCCTTTGCCTAGGGCTGAAATGGCTGTGGATTTGCCTTTCATGGCAGATTTTGCTGAGGAAGCAAATCGGCACCTGTTTGGAGCTGGCACCACATTGAAAGAGAGCAAAGGGAAACGAAAACAAAGGGCGGCACATCCAGAATGATTGCTGCCCAAATTACTTACCAAAGACATCTGCGAAGCTATGAGCCATTCGGGAGGGATGTGAAAATGAGCCCCAGCTGAGTCTCCCAGCAAAATGATTCCCCTGGGCTGTGAACCTAGGCAGCACAATTTATTCCATTATTTATGCACTCAAGTAGCTGGAGTTCCCACAGGGTGGTAATGAGGGCAGAGAGCCCAGTGTGTGCTCCACGTGCAGCACATGGGGACAGTGGGTGATGCAGGGCCACCTCTCCTGGGCCAGGGTGTGAGGGGCATGGGGCTTAGGAGTTGGATGAATCCTGAGGCTGCAGTACTGAGAGCTAAGCTGAGCAGATGCAGGTGAGTTTCCCAGCTCAGCATCAAACTGGCCATCACACAACATCCAAAGTGAATGATGGGTGAAGAAATGAACCCAAACTTTATCTGGACTCAGAGATATGCTCTGAAGTTTGCTTCTAGAAAGGGATTTCTTGGAAAACACACTAATTTGTATTTCAGTTCACTTTAGGGTCCAATGACCTTATGGAGTGGTTTGGATTTTTCAAAGATGTTATGGTCTGTTAAAGTCCTTAATCCATACCCACAGAAGCATGCAGTGGACAGTTCTAGCTGTTTAATGGAAACATGGAGATGGAAAGGCCACCCATGCAGCTGTGTGTCTGGAGGTCAGAGATGTTTAGTCTGATGCCGAGGCCCCTCCACGCCAATTGCTCACCTGGAGGTACACTCTCCCAGATCCTTCCAACCCCGGAGAACAAATTGACGCCTCCTTTCTCCACCTCACCCCAGCCCCTGAGGGAGGCCAGCTGATGGCCCAGTGGGGATGGCTACACAGTAGGGCCTGAGAAGGCCAGGACATCCAGGAGGGAACGGGGGTGAGATGTGTGGACTCCAAGAGGCTGCCCACAGCGAGTCCCAACTGTCCGGGGCTTCAATTACACCTGCACTATTTATTATTTTTTCCTTTTTTATTCAGTTTTGGTGATTGAACCCAGGGGTTTGAATATGCCAGGCAAGCAAGCACTCCACGACTGAGCAACACCAGGGCCCATGTTTATTCATTAGTTTATATGTCCCGTCTTTTATTCATCCAACTAATGTTTCTCAACTGCATGCATATGGCATGGGCCTTTACATTTTCTGTCCTCCTTTGTGCCCCTCTGAGAGCTTATAAACAAATAGATTTACAGCTGATCAAAGGAAGAGCTGTGTGGTTTTTGCCCTCAAAGTGCATGGCCAGGAAGAGGCTTTGGTGCACAATCAGAATAGCTGTCCCCAGGCCGGGGATTTATCTCAGTGGTGCCGCCACCGCCTGCCCTGCAAGCTCAAGGACCCGAGTTCGATCCCTGTTACCGAAAAAAAAAAAAAAAAAGCTGTCCTGGAAGTACCTTGGTATGAAGGAGTGAGTGAGGGAGGGAGGAAGTATGTCTGCAAGTAGGGCAGAGCATTGCCTAATTCAAGGCAGCAGTGTCACCCTGGGTCTGTTTTAAGGCTCCTCGGGGTGGGTTTACAGGGACACAGGGGTGCTGAGTTTCCTCCGAATGGTACCAGTGGCTCAGATGTCTGAGGCACAGAGGCATTTAGGATACAGAGATGCTGCTCAGCAGTCACCTTTGGCCAGAGCAGGGCATCTCTCTCAAGTCCCTCAGACCTGCATCTCTAGCTGGGTGGACATGGGGACTCCTCCCATGAGCTAAGGCTGGGTGCCTGACCTTGCACTGTAGTGACAAGGACCTGCAAATGTAACACATTTCCATTTTCACTTCTCCTTTTTTAAAAAAAATATTTGGAAAAATTCCAGATTTCAGTTATCCTTAGTCATCCTGCAGCCTGTTCCAACATTATTAATGTTTCTAATCCCCGAGAAAAAGAGCCCATTAAGAAAATTAAGTTTGGCATTTTTCTAAGTTCTGCCTCCTTTTTGGTACCTTTCTTGATGTCATTCTCTGTCATGAACACAAATGTAAATTAGTCACCTTAACGTGAGGCTCAGGGGCTCCTCTCAGAGTGGTCTGTTCATTTCAATTTGACTCAGTCAGTGAGGACCGTTCTGCTGTAACAAGCACAGACTTCCACAGTTCTTACCTTCACAGAATTTCTTCTCGTAAGGAATTCCATCTTTGGGATCAATGCCCTTTAAAAGAGGAAAGATGAGATTAGCTGTGTGTGTTTTTAAAGTTATGAGACGCGTACACTAAATCCTTCCCTGCTGGCTTTAAAAGTGCAAAGATAAATCAATAGATAAAATGCTGGAAAGTTGCTCGAGCCCCTACTCCAACACAGTTAATACTCCATGTGAGTGAGAGCTGGGTTTAAGAGGAACCAAGGGCAGGGAAAGGGAGAGACCTAGAACCTGGGCCTCCTCTTCAGAGGGATGGGAAGCAACTTCTGGAAGAGGCCCCGGGCCGGAAGTCCCCCTCCTCAGAGCACTGAGGGGCAGCTGAGGGCTGGGACACAGGTTGGGGGTTCTGTAGCCTCTGAGCTGAACTTCCGTGTCCCGGAAGCTCCAGAGCCTGAAGACTCAGGTTTCTAGAGATGTAAATCTCAACCAGGGGTGATTTTCCCCTTCACCCTCCCACCCTACAGCCATCCCAGAGGATACTAGAGGCTACAGGTTGTCACTACAGGGTAGGAAGACCCTGGCGTCTAGAGGGCAGAGGTGAAGGAGGGCACTGAATATGCCACCGTTTCTAAGACAACCCCCCCAACAAAGACTGATCCAACCTCAGGGTCAGTAGTGCCAAGGTCAACCAAGATATATCATGTACAGGTACAAGTTCCCTACGAGGAATGTGATCACTATGTATATATAAAATGTATCAATAAACTTAATTAAATAAACAAACAAAACCCAGCAGAACAAATCTGAGCTATCAGTTAAAGAAAAAAAAGAAAAAGAAAGCTAGAAGGAAAGTTGGACCTGTAGGGGTGACTAAGTGATGCGACCGAAGTCTTCTAAAGCTAAAGCCACCCTACACTTGGAAGGGACAAGTGTCCCAAGACGAGATTGCTTTGTGGTCAGAGATGGGCTGGAAGTAGTGTATCCCTCTTTTGCACTCTGTGGATCCAATTCGGGCAACGTTGGCCTTGATGGTGGTGAAGTCCCCTCCTCGTTCCTGATTCTGGGATTCTGTGGGCCACTGTTCCTCTGGGAAAGGCATGGGCACGGCAGTGAGGTGCCTTTTTCCCATTATCGAGAGAACCCCTGAGTTCAGTTGGGTTTCCTCTGGTCTCTGCATGGCCTCTTCCTCATGTGGAGGCACACAATGCCAGCAGCCATGGTGGGACCATGGGACAAAGGTGGCAGCCCCGCACACTGATCAGGGCCCTTTGTCCTCCAGTAGGACAAGCAAACTTGGGGATATTAGAACAAAAGCCACCTTGGGGGTCTTGACACCTTAAAGCTTTAGGGGAGGCATCTCCTCTTCCAGGAATGGTCATGTGTCTGAGGACAGTCCTCTGTCACCCTTTCCATGTACCAGAAGCTACTGGGCCCCAATCAACATAGTAGGTGACCGCTGGTATAAAGCTGCGCTGTGAGTGTCCTAGAGAGAGGATGATATTTATAGGAACTTTCTCCACTTCATCCAAGCAGATAAAGGAGGTGACTGTTTACCTTGAGGTCAGAGAATATTAAACTTCAGGGCCCTTTGGTTGCATAGCTCCTGCCTATATGAGTGCTAGGAATGGCTAGGAGCTAGAGGGTGTTCTAGGTGGAGAGGGAGAGGCCAGGCTATAATCAAGACCTGTTTCCATGTAAGCTTTTCTGGTTAGTCTGATAAAAGGTCTCAAAAAAGGGACCTGAATTTACAAGATTTCAGTACCGTGTTAGGAATTTATTTACTTTCATTCATGATCTTGCATTTGCAAGTTGGTTTTCTTTCTTTTTCTCTGTCTTTTTGTGGGATGGGGATTGAACCTGGGGCCTTGGCACTGACCTAACATCCCAGCCCTTTCTTTCTTTTTTTTAAAATTTTATTTTATTGGTACATTTTAGGTATGCAATATAATGACATTCATCATTGGAAATTTGCACCGTTACATAATCTCTCTTGGTTCTTATTTTTCCCCCTTCCCCTGCCCTCCCTTCAA